GGGAAGGGTGCCAGCTAGATTAAGTGATGGAACTGTCCCAAAACTGCTGGTGCCACTGGGTGCACAAGTGTGTTAGGGTCCACTGAGCTGTTGGCTATGCGTGTCTGAACAATCAGATGTGTGGGTTCGTGCCCAAGAAAGCTCTAGAAGAAAATGGTACGTCACCGTTGTGACAGAGTTGGTATCCCAGGAGCAAGGGGGAAGGATAAGTCACACCTCATGGATGCCGTTGTTGTAAAGCTGGATAGCCATGTGTCATTCAGCCCCTCCTAGTCACTGTGTCTTAGCAGTGTGACCAGTGTTCTTAGGTCCCACCTGAGGTAGTTTGACAGATTCCCAGAGTTTAACATGTCCCCTCCTGTAGCCAAAAGAACGTTGGACCTGGAAAGTGTTTCCTTTCGTTGCTGGGAGTGGGTCTGGTGGTGCACAGCCTGTGAGGTCCTCTCATGCCTGTCCCTTGTGGGCAGAGAGGGGCCTTGGTCATGCACTTGTGGCATCCTTTGCTCGTGAAGATGGAAGTTTTTTAATCTAGAGGCGTTTGGTGGACACGGCCTGGGAGCCCAGGGACTGGAAGAGCAGAGTGGAGGGCCTGTTCCAGGCCAGGTGGTTCTGGGCTCCCCAGTGAGGAAAGGAAGCTCAAGGCTGAGCCTGTGTCCTCTTCCCCCCGCATTCCCTGTGGGCTTCTGAGGTAAAAGAAGAGCTACCACTTCATATCCACCACTGTGGGCTATAACCACACCTGTTGGAGGACAGGGCTAAGTGGTGGCCCAGGTGACTGGGGTTGCCTTTGCAGAGAGCCGGGTGTCGGAGATGCACAGGTGGGGCACACACAGGTGAGGTCCAGAGGAGAGGGCTAGGGACAGCGCTGACACCAGCCTGTGTTCGGGATCTCTGAGGGAACAGAATAGCCCGGCTCTGGCCTGTCACCCTTCGCAGCCGTTTGTGCCCGCACACATGAACAAGTGTTGGCATTCACCTGCGCTGGCAATGCTCAGCGTACGGCATTATAGGGTGCTGTGGGTGGCCAGCTCAGTGGCCTCACATACCACACGGATGTGTGTGTCAGATAGCTGTGTGGACCGAAATTTATAGGAGTTACCTTTTGGATAGATCTCTGAATAGGGCTCATGGTAAATCTTGCCGATGTAAGTAATCCTCCATAATCTGAAAGGTCCAAATAAAGGATGAATGGTGTTTGTGGAGTCTCAGATGCAGAGGCTCAATGCGCACATGGTCTCTGGCATGCAGCTGGCTTTCCTCGGTGTTTGTCAGTGAACAGGCAGCCTTGCACCTGCTAGGCCTCCACATTGCAGACCTCTGTGTGTCCTGCTTGAGCCCCGTGCCAGACCCCAGGGCTGCAGAACCTCTGGGCCAGCCCATACTTCCGATCCCAGTTATTAATTCTAGAGCACAGACGTGAAACAGCATGTTAATCTTAGTGTAACCCTTAGCTTACATTTCTCTTTTGTTTTTTAAGCTATGTGGTTAGCATGATTTGAAATAATTAAAGTTATTATCTGCTTGCTCAATTAGGATGGCTTTGAAGCAAGACATCATCTCATATAGTTTTTAGATTAAGTTATAAATGTTCGCTTGAGAACTACCTGAAGATTGATAGAGATGCATTTGAAAAGCATTATTTTTTTTATTGATTCTTAATGTAGTAAATTACTGAAGTTATTTGGCAGCAAACAGAAGTGGCCTGTGATGTGGCTCACATTTATTCTCCTGATAGAGCCACAATTTGCATTAATTGCATTGCGACTGCACTCACTTATATTAAAAGGCTTCTACTATAATTAATCCTTTTTATTTCAAATCATTTTGGCACAATTTGCTATAAACACTCATAAAGGACAGACAGTTGAAAAATACATTACAGGTTCTTTCCATATACCTATTGCTAATTTTTCATGACAGGTAGTTATTGATATGCTTCTAGGGACAAGCGTGGTACAACTGGCTGAAAAATGCTAAGTGGATTATTCTGCATAAAAAATAGGCAGTTTTTGAAGTTGTATAATTAACCTGTGTTTAGAATATACCCTGATTTATGCTTACATTTGTATCTCAGTTGCATACATTATGGAAATTTAATTTATAATCCATTTAGCTGATGCAATCATAGTTTTTAGTGCTATCATTTATTAGTGCTTGTATATTAAATGCTCTAAAAGTTTAAACCTGCCTTATATAAAAAATTATACCTATGCATTTACATTTTATGAGTCACAGTGGGATTTCTGTTTGAGATTCAGGTAGCTCTGATACATTTATCAGATCTCAGTGGTTTATTGTTACTAATGCACAAATGGCAAACAATGACCTTAGGTATCGAGCGTCAGATGATTTATGTGTCTGGTTTATTTTAAAGCCCACCGTACAGATGAGGGAGGGCTGTTCCTCAGTCCCTGGTGTGCATCACAGTTTTATGCAGAATGGGCTCCTTGGTTCTGAACTCATTGTTCATTTAGAAGTAATAGTGCTGATAAGTAACCCCAGGTTAATAGTGCTCGCCATTCTTAACTTTAAGCAAACTATGACTTTCTGGAGCAACTCCTTACTTACATTTATCAGTGGATGATCGGATGTTGCCATTTTATCCTCATTCTCTTTCGGAATGCCTTTTTGCCATCTTTTCAAAGCTAATTGGAAATCTTAGTCTTCAGATCAGAACTAAAGCACAGGAGGTAATGGCTCCATGCCTTGGCCTGGCCAGGAGAAGCGTTCTTCATAGTGCCTGTCTATGGGTTTGGTTTCCCAGAATACAGCTCCAGTGACGGGGGAATGTTCACAACTGTTTACTAGTTTCCTTGGATCCTGTCTGCAAGGAGTGTTTGAAAGTGTGGGCCTTGGTGTACTTGGCATGCTTTGGCACAGGTGTCCAGGAGCTGGTGACCCAGCAGAGGGAGCAGAGGCTCTTGGGTAGGTGAGTTCACACCACCCTGCCTGAGCATGTGCAGTGCGGTCTGTTTGGAAGGGCAGTCGCCCCACTGCTGAGGTTTGGTTTTACTGTGTCATTGTGGAGTTGCTTCACCAGCAGCACTGGGCCCTCCAAACCTCAGGTGCAAGGGTCCCAAGGTTCCACCTCCCTGTGCTGGAGAGGGCCTCTGCTGTGCAAGGCTCCAGTTCTCCACTTAGCCAGTAGGGTGGGTGAGGGAGCATTGCCTGGCTTTGCTGCGAGCATAGATCTCACAGGTTAAGACGCATCTGAACTAGAACGGCTCCTGCTGGCTTCCATGGGACCCACTTATGCCGTAGATAGGACATTGTGCACACGGAGCAGATGGAAATGAGATTATCGGTGTCCTGACTCTGCTCCGCATGGCGTCTGTTGTCGAGGCTTCCACATCAGTCTGTTGGAAATAAAATACATTAAGTCCCTGACTTAGGAATGAGTTCCATTCCGAAAGAATGTTCATAAGTCCTACAAAGTGAGTCTTATACAACTTTGACACAGATATACCATGTAAAGCATAAAAAAACCAAACAAAAATATAGTAAGCCCCCGACTGTACTGTACACTAAGCACACAACAGCTGTGACAGTGTCCAGTAGACATGTGAGCTACTTCCACGATCTGTTTACATCTGCAAATGTTCTTAATGTGAGGTCCCGTCGTATCTGTGAAAGTTTGAAATTTGAATGTTTGTAAGTCTGAGAGTAACTGTACTGAGAATTTTGAAAATTTCACTGATATACCTTTTTTTATGTTGTGACCTTGTGCCATTAGTGTGTGTATCCTAACACATAACCCCCAGTATGATGTTGCAGACTGTGCTTAATTTTACTTCCTACTTCCATTTGCTGGGGACTCTCTGAGGTTCCTATAGAACACTCACCAACACTTTGATTGAATCCATTCGCTGAGGCTCAGGCCACAGTGGGGACCATGGCTCTACCCAGAGTGGCCGACAGTCCCAGCAATTGGGAGTGTGTAGACAGTGGGAACTTGCATGGGCAGTGCCTTGTGCCCAGCACTTCTGCTCTCCCTGTTCTGCCCCTGGGTGTATAATCATCAGAGCCAGAAACTAGAAGTGCCTCAAATGTCTGTCACTAGGTGGCCTGTTTTGTTTTGTTTTTGAGACAGGGTCTCACTATTCAGGCTATGTAGTTCCGGCTGGCCTCAGACTCACAGCAATCCTCCTGCCTCAGCCTCCCAAGAACTAGGATTACAGGTGTGCACCACCACACCCGGTGAGGTGGCCTTATTTGGAAGACCTGTGTGCCCATCAAGTCCAGATTATGCTGGGTTAGAAGGGGTCCCACAGTCCAGCAGACAGAGTCACTTTAAGATCAACGAAAGGTTTCGGTCCTCAGCACCCAGAGAGAGGGTGGGAGGCAGGGGCGAGAGAGAGAGCAGACACACAGGGAAGACAGCCACGTAAAGAGACAGGAACTGGAGTAATATGGCTACAGCCAGGGAATACCAGGACCTGGAGAGTGGATGGCCCTGCTGACACCTGGATCTCAGCCTCACCCCACAGAACTTGAAACAGCACCTTGGTGTTGCTTTGAGTCTCTCTGTTTGTGGCAGTTTGTTGTAAAAGCCGCAGGAATCTAAGATACCTACAAAGCCACCTCTCTGATACGTTTGCTGACCTCTGCTGAGGTGTGAAGGGTGTGATGTGGCCCCCCAAACTCCCGCCGTGTGTCAGCATGTTCCCGCTGTGGCCAGCCATGCCATAGATTCACTGTCCTCCAGATGGAGTGTCCACTGTCAGGACCCTGTGAAGGGTTCTCCTTGAACATAGGGTCTTTTGTTTGCAGGAAACATGAAGAAAGCATGTATAGCTGGGTGTGGTGGTGCATGCCTGTCATTATAAGTTCAAGCCTAGCCTGGATGACGTAGCAGGACCCTACCTAAACAAAAAATGTTCTGAAGGGGCTGGAGATGTACTCAGGGTCAAGGCCCTGGATATGGTCCCCAGGACTGTAAGCATAAAAGCAAAACCCCACATTTGTGCTGAGTGCTAACCGCTGTCCTGTCTCATCCAAAGGCTCTCTATGAAAACATGCTGGTGGAGCTGCCCTTTGCTGGCTTCTTCCTGTCTAAGCTGCTGGGGACCACCGCAGACGTGGACATCCACCACCTGGCCTCCCTGGACCCTGAGGTCTACCGGAACCTGTTATTCCTCAAGAGCTATGAGGGGGACGTGGAGGAGCTCGGGCTCAACTTCACCGTGGTGAACAACGACCTGGGGGAGGCCCAGGTGAGCTGGCATGCCTGCCCTGCCCTGTGCGCCTCCACTGCCGGGTGACTCACCTGCCACTGGCACAAGTGGCAGAGTGTGGGTGTCCATTTGTGTTGCTGTGTGTGTTTGCATTGATTGATTGATTGATTGATTGATTGATTGATTGATTTGGTACCGGGATTGAGCTCGGAACCCTGTTTGCACATTTTAGTTGAGAGGGTTCCTCCAGTGGGGAGTTGGCAACAGTGCTGGCCTGGCCCCCAGCTCCTCGGCAGGAGAATCTGCCCTGCTTGAGCCCTTCCTGCTGTGGAATGAGACTTCAGCCACAGGAAGGCTGGGCTCTCATCTGGCTGGGGGTCCCCTGGTCACTCCTCACTTGCTTGCCTTCTGTTCTTTCTTCTTCTTTTTTTTTTTTTTCTTTTCTTGTTTGACACTGCAGACCAGGCAGCTCCCTAGCCTTCACTCACTTGCCATTCAGCCTTCTTGTTTCTTCTTTCTTTTTCTTTTTGTGGTTCCTGGAATGGAAGCCAGGGCCCAGAGTATGCTGGGAAGCATTGACTGCTGAGCTATGTCCCATTGGTTTTCTTCCCAACTTTTATCAATGCAGTATTTGTGTACTACACACTTTGGTGGCTTTGGTGTGTTCACAGCGGTGTAGTCACCACAAGGCCAACTTTAGAACTTTTTTTTTTTAATTTCTAATTTGGTTTTTTGGTACTGGGAGTTAAACCTAAGGCCTTCACACTAAACTACATCCTCAGTCCCTTTTTTTATAGTTTTTTTGGTTGTCATTGCTTTTCACTGCTAAGGATTGAATTCAGGGCCTCATGCATGCTTGGAGGTGCTTCACCAGTGAGCTACATCTCCAATCCCCAAATTTTACTTTGAGGGAGGATCTCACTAAGTTGCTAAATTGTTCACACTGTGCTCAAACTTTCAGTCCTCCTGCCTCAGTGTCCTGGAGTGGCAGGATTACAGGCACGTACCACCATCCCTTTCTTTGCTCGAGGAAGAACTTATGCCCAGTAGCAGTGGGTCCCCACCAGCCTACCCACCACAGTCCAGTCTTCGGCTCTAGACAGCACCCCCAGGGATGCATCACACAGTAGGCTCTCGCACAGTCGTCTGTGACAGACCCCTCACTTCCTGTTCTGGGTCCAGCCTACACCTTCGTCTGCCCAAGTGAGATTCCTCGTACCGCTGCACCACTGCTCTTTACCAGGATGTTGGGTTACTCCACCTTGGAGCTCTTTGGCTATAACCTGTGAACACATTTGTACACCACTTAAATATCTAGAGACAAAGTGGTGCCATCAGGGAGGAGTGTGGTCCCTCCTGATACCTGGGCCTGGGTCCTGCCACCCTCTTGCCTACTCCACTGCACACCTAAATGTCCATCGACATGACTCAGGAGACTCTTAAATAGGCAGACAGCCACAGTTGGATTGCATGAGGGAGATACAGAGGGTTTCCTCTGAGAATGTTGCAGTTGTATTTGTTAATATCTCACACTGATTAGACTTTTAAAATGACCCCCTGTGGTTTTCTTGCCTTTGATTTTCAGACTAGTAATGTCTAATTTACAGGGAGACACATGTTTTGAAGTTTCTGCTGTTCTTAAATAGAACAATGATCTTTTCCTGAATCTGTGGCTAGATTTTAACTACAAAAATATTACTGTCTTTTAAGTTTTGTAATTCTTCTCTGAATTGTTGTTATCACCTGGTTTCTAGTACAAGTGTTGCAAGCTCCTCAGCTTTGGCATGCTTTTAAAAAAAACCTAATGTGTCAGGGGTGGTGGTGCATGCTGTCATCCCAGCACTCGGGAAACTGAGGCAGGAGGATCTCTGTGAGTTCAAGACCAGCTTGGACTGGGCCAGCGTGGAATATAAAACAAAACAGAAAAAATGAGGTGAGTGCAGTCTTCATGGCTTAGCATCTCAGTGCCTCTTTGCCTGTGCGTGCTCATTCTGAGGCCTGCAACACTGTGCAATAGCCCTGCTGTCCCTGAGAAGCTGCTCCTAGATGATGGAATGCACACAGTCTAATGAGAGGATGTAGCTGTATCTGTAAAGCAGCATGGCCATGCAGTGTGAGGTAGGTGTCATCAGAAGCCGTCAAAACAAGGCAGGCCTGGGAAGCAGCTAGGAAGAGGCTCCTTCATGATGTGCAGCGCAGACTGGTGGGGGTCAGGGCCTACCCTGCCAGGAATTCAGGTTTTAGAAGCATAGAGGGAGCTATGACCTGGATTTCTAAGAAAGGAGAGCCAGTGCAATTCTAGGGCTGACAGGTTGTATCCAGAGCTCATAGGAAAACACATAACAAAAAAAAGGCTTTGAAGGGCTAGGGATTTAGCTCAGTGGTTCCAGCCCTTGAAAGCGCAAGGTTCCGAGTTTGATCCCCGCTACCAAAAGAAAAGAAAAAGAAAGGCTTTGAGCCCCTGCCTGGAAGCTAAAGACTTGGTTGTCGGAGCAGGACCTGGAAGCCCAACCTGAGTGTGTCCTGAGTCAGCCACTCCAGTTTGCCAAGAAGCCACACCAAGGCTCAAGCAGTTGAGAGATTTTTAGTAGGAGTACCTCGATGTCTTCTCTATTTTGAAAGTTGCATTCTATGGGGCAAACTAGATGGTACATGTCTGCTGTCCCAGCTACTCAGAATGCTGAGACAGGCGATCACAAGTCCACAGCCATCCTGGGGAATTTAATGAGACCCTATCTTAAGACCCAAAAGGGCTCAGCATTTCCTAGGTTCCACCCGCAGCCCCCGTTTAAAACAAAAATCTATAGACTGGTATACTAAACCTGATGAATTCCAGGTAGGGTGGGATACTAAATTTCCTACCCCACCCCTACCTCAGCCCCCAGCACCCACCCTCTGCTCTTTTTTTTTTTACTTATTTTACAGGTACATTTTAGATACACACAATGATAACAACATTCATCATAGGGAATTTGTACCTATACATAATACATCTTGCTGTTTCTTTTTTTCCCATTCCCCTCCCATCCCTTCAATTTCCCTCCCCTCTTTTTTTTTTTAAATTTTATTTTATTGGTACATTTTAGGTGTACAATATAATGACATTCATCATTGGAAATTAGCACCTTTACATAATCTCTCTTGGTTCTTATTTTTTCCCCTTCCCCTGCCCTCTCTTCAGCCCCTCTATCTCTCCTTGTTTATAAAGACTTTGTTTCTATTTTTTCATTTTCTCACATTAATTCCATTCCCATCTTTCCTTTCCCCTGCTCCTCCCACTTCCCCTTTCCCTTTGGCCCTTTTCTTCCTGTTTCACATTATTTATTATACCTTTTAGTCCTTTTTTTTTTTTTTTTTTTTTTGGGTGCCGGGGATCGAACTCAGATCCTTCCGCTTGCGCAGCAGGTGGCAAAACCACTGAGCCAAATCCCCAGCCCCTTTTAGTCCTTTTTTACACTTTCAGTTTCTCAGGCTGGAGAAACTACACGTGTGTCCTATTTATTTCACTTAAGAGTATCACCTCAACGTGCATCCATTTAGCTATAAATGTCTCTAATTTTTCATTTTTTATGGCTGAGTAGTACTCCATTTTATTTAAAAACCACATTTTCTTTATCCAGTCTCCAGTTGATGGGCAGTTGTGTTGTTTCCAAGCTTTAGCTATTACAAATTGTGTTGCTATGAACATAGTTGCACATATAACACTGTGGTATGATTCTTTTAATTCTTTGAGGTATGCACTCCCACCAACAATGGAGCAGGGTTCCTCTTTCCCCACAGCCCTGCCAGCATGTTATTGGTTGATTTCATGATAGCAGCCATTCTTCCTGGAGTGAGGTGGAATCCCTCTCCTCTCTGTCTTTATGGATTTGGCAGCTCTGGGTTCTCTGTGACTGGCTGGCTCCCTCAGCAGGACATCTCGGTGTGCATCCATGTCACAGTGCACATCGGAACTTCCTGCCACACTGCCTCTCTGTCCTGAGGATGGACACTTGAGTTGCTCCATATTTTAGTTATTGCAAACAGAGCTGTGAACGTTGGTATTCAGTGTCTCTCCAAGACCCTACTTTCCATTTCCTCCGAAAATATATCTACGAGTGCAAATGCAGGATCACATGGCCATTTTTGTTTTTTGTTGTACCGGGGATTGAACTTGGGTCCTTGCGCTTGCACAGCAGGCTGCGAAACCACTGAGCTAAATCCCTGGCCCTTTTTTGTTTAACTATTTGAGGAACCACTTAACCATTTCCACATCTGTTCGCACCCACAGCAGTGTGCAGGGCTCAGATTCTCCACATTGTCCTGCGTTTGTTGTTTTCACTCCTCCTCTTCTTTCTCTTTTTTTCTTATTTGCCATCCTAATGGGTACAGAGTGGTATCTAATGTGGTGTTTTTAGGGGTCTGTTTTGTTTTGCAGTACTGGAAATGGAACCCAGGGTCTTCACACTGAAATGTACCCCCGGCCCTTTCTTATTTTGAGACAAGGTCTCACCAACCCACTGAGTTCACCAGGCTGCCCTCCAGTTTTCATTTCTCCTGCCTCAGCCTCCCAGAGGCTGGGAAAGTACATAGAGGATAGAGGACTGCACAAGTATGCACAAGGTGCCATGTTCCATCACAGCATCACCCCTAAGATGCCTGCAAGGGTTTATACTTCGTGCATCCAGACCTTCTGGACATTGTTTTGAAGTGCTCCTGTGTTGGGAATATGAATTTTTACTGTTTCCTAGCCTTGAAAGCTGCTCCAGCAATAGGCTGGAGTGCAGGTAGTGACCGCCCCTGGGCTTGTGTTGGGCTGGCTGCAGACATTCCTGGGGACTGCTGTCAGTGTCATAAATAGGAACGAGAAGCACCAGCAGTGTGAGACTGTGCTGCAACTTGCTGGGCTGCTTTTGTTTCAGCTTCCTCTTCATACCACGGAGCTGAATGTCCACAGTGCAGATGTGCAGTGTTCGTTGGGAGGTGACATTTATGGCCTGGTCACCTGTGTAACAGGTGAAGTTCAAGCCACCAAGGTTCTGTGCTTCCTGGTGCCTTATCTCCAGAGGCCAAAATGTGCATGGCCTTTGCCAGGGAGCACCCTGCCCATTTTGCTCCTGAAGTAGGTAGTGACGGGGCCCAAGATTTAGCTCAGTGGTTCTGCCACCTGCCTTGCAAGCACAAGGACCCGAGTTCGATCCCCGATACCAAAACAATAGAAAAAGTAGGTAGTGACAGTGAAGTGTCACACATAAGCCTCCATTAGAGCGCACTGCAGAGAGGATGGCGTCTGCTAGGAGCAAACATGTTCTAATTTGTCATAGAATTTCCACTGGGCTCAGAAATTATAGATGGCAACATAGAAGAGTAATTAGGCTGAAGAGTCTAAGTAGAAGAATTAAATTTAATGTTAAAGCACCTAATTGAGGGGGAGATCTTACAGATTCCTGTAGAAGTAGACATCAATAGGTAATGCTGGGCTGGGGTTTGGCTCAGTGGTTCTGCCGCCTGTCTTGCAAGCAAAGGGTCCCGAGTTCGATCCCTGGTACCAAAAAAATAAAATAATGGGCTGCCCCCAGATTTGTTTTTGTGGCTATTTGTTGGCTGATTAGTAACATACACAACACTTGGGACTGTGATCTCTTCACATCTCCCTGGAGGACCCAGCAGAGGTCTTACAGGGACCACAAAGAATCATCTACTGGGGGTTGGACCTTGGAGAGTCCTAGTTTTGTGGCCATGGGCAAGTCATAGGACCCCTTCTCATCCAGGCAGGGATTCGACATGGAGAGTGACACAGGGTTCCTAGGTGCTGTCCCAGTCAACCTTCCGAAATGCTATACCCTTCAGACTAGAAATTTGATGTTCATTTGGCAAGACTTTTAAATGCACATGGGTGTTTAGGGTTAGCTGTGGGGCAGACTTTAAATTAAAAATAGTTAACCATTTTAAAGTTATTAGATACACCAGTTTTGTCTGAGTAAGCAGATTGTGGGTGGCTCTGGAAATTCCTTGAACTGAGAACTTCACTGGTCCTTTGTCTTCCCAGTCACACAAGCACATCATCATTTATTACCTGCTTTTAATCCATTTAAAGGAATCGGTAGTGCTTTATATATGGAGATAGAATAGCTGGCCTCCCAAGGCTGAGGTAACAGATGGACTGTCGGAGAGAACGGAGGAATTAGGGTAATGAACACAGTCCCTAGTCAGCCCAGAGACAATGGGTTGCAAGCCCATTGTTAGACTTGATGGCTCCAAAACTAAGAAATAAATTACTGATGAAGATTGCATCATCATTTGAAATGTGAAATACTAAAAAGCATATTAGACAAATATGACACTCAGGTTTCAAGCTACATAACTTTTATAGAGTGGGAGCCTGAAGACTGCTCTGTTCTGTAGCCACGGATACAGGGTGATACCAGTGAAACTCTTTGGCCATGTTGAAATAGTCTTTCTGTAAGGTGGTTAGAAATTGGGGTGTGTAAGCTATTGTCCCATGACATGTTGCTAACTTGTTATTAATCATCCTTCTACAAGCTGAGATCTGAGCATCTCTAGAGCCAACCACTTAGCAGGCACCTGGAAACTATATTGGGCTGTTACTTGGCGTCCACTTCTTAACAGTGCCCTTGTTAATATGGACACTCATAATCTGTGCTCATTTATTTTGTTTATTTTATATTCTCTTTACTCACAGCATAGATTATTCCTCATCTAACCCTAGGGATGCAGTTTTTTTATGTGAGGGATTGAATTTAGAGCTTCATGCATGTTAGGCAAATGCTCCCCTATGGAGCCAACAAGATTTCTTGAAGTACACTTTTGAATGTTTTCATGTTTGCTACCGTCTGAAGTCATTTGCTGATCAGCTTTGTATATATGAGTCCACATAATCAGCAATTCTAAGGTAGACAAGGCAGATCACACCACGTTGAGGAAAATTCAAGGTTGTGGTGGTGTGTCTCTGGCAGTGCCTCACCTGAGAACTGGAGTCCACGTGATGGTGTTCTGCCTTTCTCACGTCCACTGCCCTGATGCTCACAGGTGTCCTAAGCCCTGTTCCAGACCCACGTCATCTGTGACCATGATTGTCCTGAGAAGCCATGCTCTTGCTGTTTGTGCATGTTACACCCTGGCCGATCTCTGCCACTGTGCTTAAGTCATGATTCATATACCTTAAGCAATAATGGCGTTCTAGAAACACAAAGTATGGGGAATGTTGCAAGTATCTATCTATAGGTGTACCGCAAGTCTCAATTCCTTCCAGTGCATTTTCTCCAAAAGGAACCCCTTTATTTTGTTCTCACTTCTCACTTGCGATGGTCCTTTGGTTTTTATCTTTGCCCTTTGTGATCTCTCACTTTTCAGAAAGGAACTTGCTATAATGACATTGCCTCACAATCCCTGGAATTCCAGAGAAAGCAGGGTGGTTGATAATCTTAAAGGTAGAGTAAGGTACAGGGCCTAGGAGAAACCCCTGCCTTGCATGCAGTGATTGTACTGCTTGTACTCTTGTATTCAGATTCTTGCTTTTGTATTGTCTGTTGCGACTTTGGGGATTTTGATGACCTGTGCTTTCTCCTCACAGGTGGTTGAACTGAAATTTGGTGGGAAAGATATCCCTGTAACCAGTGCCAACCGCATTGCCTATATCCATCTGGTGGCTGACTACAGGCTGAACAAGCAGATCCGCCCGCATTGCCTGGCATTCCGACAGGGCCTGGCCAACGTCGTCAGCCTGGAGTGGCTGCGGATGTTTGATCAGCAGGAAATTCAGGTACTCTGCCTGCTGACTCTGGGACGCAGTTGTCTCAGGAAAATAAAAGCTGTCTTAAAATCTATGTCAGACTGTGGATGGTGACAGACAGCTGTAATCCCAGCTCCCAGAGGCTGAGGTAGAAGGAAATGTAATTTTGAAGCCACCCTGGGCAATTTCTTGAGATCCTATCTCAAAATAAAACTTTTAAAGGGGCTGGGAGTGTGGCTCATTGGTAGGGGGTAGAGTTCCTGCCTAGCACACAGCTCTGGGTTCAGTTCCCAGTAGCACCTCCTCACCACCACCAAATATCTCAAAGTTTACCATTTGAACTTTTTTTCAGGTATTAATTTCTGGTGCACAAGTTCCCATAAGTCTCGAGGACCTAAAATCCTTTACAAACTATTCAGGTATGTTGCTCAGATAATTCAGCAGTTCCAATTTGGGGTGCTAAAGGAGGTACCTAGTGAGAGCCTCCAGTCCCTCCCTGCCTGTTGCTGCCACCCTGCCTCCCTGCCCAGGGACTGGCTATCCTGGAGCCCTGGAGACTGGCAAGCAGTGCACACAAAGCCTGCACCCCCAGCCTTCCACACTGCTCTGCATGTGCACTCTCCACACTACATTGAGCCTTGGCTCACTGGTGCTTGGCTACTTCCAGTCTTTGTTATTTTTTTTGGTACCGGGGATCGAACTCGGGTCCTTGTGCTTGTGCAGCAGCCGGTGAAACCACTGAGCTAAATCCCCGGCCCCAGTCTTTGCTTTTAACAGCAGTGCTGGGCTAGGGGTATAGGCCTGTGGTCAAGTGAGTGCTTAGCTTATCTACAGCCCTGGGCTTGGTCTCCAGCACCAAAAATGAATCAGTGGACAGACGGATGGAGTGCTAGCTGCTCCTTGTCCCCGAAGAAATACACTGAAAATTTTTTTTAAAAGGTAAAGGCCACAGATAGAACAAAAGTTTTCAGAAGAACTTGTATCCAAAATACATGAAAAACTCTAAATGTATTGATAAGGAAAAACAGTCACAGAAAGACAAAAGCCTTGAGTAACCACTTCCCATCAAAGTTCTGGCCTGACCAGTGAGGGCGTGAGGGAGCAGCTACAGAATCACTGCCCTGACTGCAGACCTCCACCACAAGGAGGTACTCAAGTACAACTGGCATCTTGGGAGTATTTCTAAATTTTGTATGTTTTTCCGTAACTAATCTCATATATGCTTGGTAACAAAAGAGAAAAAAAGGACCGGGGATTTAGCCCAGTGATTCCACCGCCTGCCTTGTAAGCGCAAGGTCCCAAGTTTAATCCCCGGTACCAAAAACAAAACACATAAAGCAAAAGAGAAAAAAATCACCCTTAATGCTGGAATTCTAAGCAAGCCACTGTTCTGTTGTCATATTACATTATTTGTTTTATTTGGTTTTTTACTATCTACAGTTTATGTATTTTTGAATTTTTGTTTAACAGCAGTAGTAAAATAAATTTCATGCTGGGCATGGTGACACACGCCTGTAATCCCAGCATTCCATGCTGAGGCAGGAGGATCTCAGTGAGTTCTAGGCCAGCCTGGGCTCCATAGTGAGTTCAAAGCCAGCTTGAACTATATAGCAAGACCCTGTCTCAAAAAAAAAAAAAAAAAAAGAGAATGACTGACTCAAAAAAAAAATTGATTAGAAATTAGTATACATTTTTTAAGCATATTTGAGGGTACATTTTGCTCATTCAGCCTTTTCCCATCCCTAGAAAACTAAAATATGCAAGTATAAAGGTGATATAGGGGCCAGGGATTTAGCTCAGTGGTTTCACTGCCTGCTGCGCAAGTGTAAGGACCTGAGTTTGATCCCCGGTACCAAAAAAAAAAGATATTAATGCCAAGCGTGGCATACACCTGTGATCCCACCTACTGGAGAGGCTGAGACAGGAGCATCACAAGTTCAACTCCAGCCTAAACTACATAGTGAGACCCTGTCTAAAAAACAGTTTTTTAAAAATGATATGATGTAGTATGTCATTAATTCCAGGGTCTGGCTCAATTATCCAGCGTGGCCTTGAACTCGGTATACAGCCCAGGCTGGCCTGGAATTCAAGGTGACCCTCCTGCCTCAGCCTCCCAAGTGCTAGGCACACGTGTGAGCCACCATGCCCAGATTTTTCAAATAATTTTTAAGCTAGAAAACATCTTGGGCAAAAATTCAGCTCTGATCCAGTGAGGAGATCAACAAGTTCTCTCCATGCTTAGTAGCAGCCTGAGTCAGAGGCAGAAAAAAATAGCACACAAAAGGAGAAAATTATAGGTGAATATCCCTCGTGAACAAAGGAATATGTTCAGAATTCCTAAAGCAACATTAGCAAGCTGAATCCAGCAGTAGAGCAGCGTGATTAACCAAGTAGCGTTGATCAAGGAAGGCCTGGTTCATTTCGACACCTGCAGCTCTGTTCCTGTACCACACCATATTGATGGTGTGGGGACAGAGCCACAGCACCACTGGGGGGGGGGGGGGGGTTGAGGCTTCTGAGCACCCAAGCACCTCACATGCATTCAGGATAGAGCTCAGGAAACGGGAAGTGAATGTCCTCAGCCTCACCTAGGATACTGGGTGAATATGAAAGACAAAGTGAAAGTGAAAAGCATCCAGGTTCCCAAAAATGTGACAGAAGTAAAGATTTTATCACAGGTGGCTTCATGAAAAAAATATGAGTTAAACAAATTTAGCATTACAGCACAGATCATAGGTTAATGTGGAACAGCAGGTTGAAAGACATAGAGAACTAATTCCACTCATCACAGCACCCAAGAGGACAAAACAAAAAATTTAGGAACACGTCACACTTGTGCACTGAAAACTGCAAAGCACCATTAAGAGAAATTCAGGGAGATTTAAATAAATGGAGATTCATGTGGAAAACTTAGTATTGTTAAAATAGTAATTCTTTTCTTCTTTTTTTTTAATAGTAATTCTTTTCAAATTGACCTATAAATTAAATCCAGTCCCTGCCAAAATCCCAGGAAAGCTTTCTGTAGAAATCAACAAAGCTAATTTTAAAATTTACTTGGAAAAAAAAATAAATAAAATTTACTTGGAAACATAAAGGATCAAGAGTAGCCAAAAACAATTTTGTAGAAAAACAAAATTGAAAGACTTGCTTTCTGATTTAAAACTTACTGTAAAGCCGTAGTAATCAAGACAGTGTGGTATTTGGCAGGGGGACAGCATGCGATCGATGGAACAGATTAGAGTTAACTATATATTTATAGTCAACTGGTTTTTCAGCAGAGGTCCCAAGGTAGTTCCGTTGCTGCTGGGATGATATCCACCCATGTATATTTCACACCAAATCCCAAAAGAGCCAGAGATATAAAATATCCAAAAAGAACAACGTCTTCGGGGCCAGGGATTTAGCTCAGTGGTTCCGGCCCCTGCCTTGCAAGTGCAAGGTCCTGAGTTCGATCTCCGGTACGGCGGGGGGGTGGACACACAGAGTCTTCATGGCTTTGGCTACATCAGATATTTTTTGGACTTCCTCACAATTAAAATTTTTGTACTGGGCGTGGTACCACATGCCTGTAATCCCAGCACTCGGGAGGCTGAAGCAGGAGGATTGCCATGAATTCAAGGCCAGCATGGGCTACAGAGTTCAAGGTCAGCCTGAACTGCATAGCAAGACCCTGCCTCCAAAAAAAAAGGGGGGGGGGAGGGAAAGTAGCTGGTTATGGTGGACATGGCTGTAATCCCATCACTCAGGAGGCTGAGCCAGGAGTCTTGTGAGTTTAAGGGTAGCCTGGGGTGCAAAAGGGAGTATGGATGAAGGGCTTGAATATACATTTCTCCAAAGATACAGAAACTGTTCAATAAAGATGCTCAACATGGCTGATCATGAAGGCAAAACATCAAATCAGAACCACAGCAAGCTCTACTTTATACTCAGGATGGCTGTTGCCAAGCAGGAAGTGATAATGATGGGGAGGAGGAGGAGAAAGTGAGACCCTCAGTCATTGCTGTGGTGTTATAAGGTGGTGCAGCTGCTGAGGAAAGCAGTTTGGATTCTCAACAAACTAAACATGATCTTGGGGTGTAGCTCAGTGACAGCACTTGGCTCACATGTGCAAGGCACTGGATTTGGTTCCTAACACCACATGAAAAGGAGAAAAGGCCAGGTGTGGTTGTACACACCTATAATCCTAACATTCTGGGAACCTGAGGCAGGAGGACCACACATTTGAGCCCAGGCTGGGCAACTTAGCAGTTTAGTGAGACCCTGCCTCAAAGTAAGAAAAAGGCTTGAATGTAGCTTAAGGTCCTATGTTCAATTCCCAGTTATGACCCCCCTCATAAAAAGAGGGGAAAAAGCCCTAAACATAGAATTTTATAATCTGGAAACTCTATTGTTGTGTATATATCTAAAGAAATTGATCACACCTTGTTCACACCGGTATCATTCACAATAGCCAAAAGATCCAATGGATAAACAGGCACATGTACATTAGGGTTGTGAAGTCTTAGAGAGGAGGAAGTTCCGATAATGTGGATGACTCTGGAAAGCGTAGTGCTGAATGAAACAGGCCACACACAGAAGGACAGGTAGTAGATGATTTGATTTATATGAGGCACTCGGAGTACCGAATCCTTGTGCTCTACAGTACCCTAGAGACCCCTTGGGGCTGGGGAGAGAGGAGGGACGAGTTCCTGCCTAGAATACAGAGTTCCTGTGAGAAGGGATGTGAATGGAGGCAGCACCCCAAGTTGTGCACTTAACCATGATTGAAAGGGTGACTTTTATCCTCAGAATTTTACCACAGTAAGAAAAAAGAAAGCTACCCCAGGTTCCCCTGTTCTGTGTAATATATGACACATCTCTAAAGCAGGTTTGCATTGCCTGCAGGGTGAAAGTAGAATCTCTGAGGAAATGGAAATATTCTAAACCTGGACTGTGTGGATGGTTGTAAAAGTCTTAATTTGTTAAAAATTACTTTGTGTATACTTACGTGTATGTGTGGTTAATCTGTATTGCTGTAAACTTGAACTGTAATCTTTGTGTGAAGACAAATAACACCTCAGGTCACATTGTCCCTACCATCAAGTCATAAGTTTGAGAATATGAAATCAATCTGACCTTCCCTGTGCCAAGAAATTGTCGTGGGTGTTTGCATTACCCTGTGTGCACTGAAAGCTTATACCTTTAATGCTCTTAGCTCTTCCAGTAAATAGGACTAAAATATTACTCATTTTGGTGCCAATTAATGCACTTAGGATATTTTATTAATGTTATTTCTGTAGCGTATTAACAATGGAGGAGCAATACATAGCTATTATTTCAGTTTTAGGGAGCACTTAAGGAAGTTAAATGCTATAAGTAGCAGATACTACATTTTAGAACAGTGGTCTAATCACATGTAGTGCTGGTCATTGGCCATGGTCTGTCCCATATTATCAGAAGTGATAAAATTAACATAGACACCAAGATCATAGTGGCCAAATACATAGCTGTATTAGAATATAAAAACTCCAGTGTCTGTTTCCTAGATGTGTTGACCGCAGATAAAGCCATGTTTGTTGAGGGTATGCTCAACAGTAGTGTTGATTTCTAGCTCATATAGTTCTTAAAAACCAGGCTCCTTGCAGGGACCTTCTGCCTTTGCGATCATCTTCTAAGCCCAGTGCCCCAGGTCTGGCCCACCATCTCCAAGGGACCAGGTCAGGGGTCCTGGAGAATCCCCCACACAGCTCCCTGCCTCACTACGACAGGCATAAACAAACCAATTCATTGCTTTAGGGTTGTTAAAACAATCCTGCTTTTGCGTGTTTTTCATTTTGAATAAAATGTGTGTTTGTTTTGTCACAGGAGGCTATTCTGCTGATCATCCTGTCATTAAGATCTTTTGGAGAGTTGTAGAAGGTTTCACTGATGAAGAAAAGCGCAAATTGCTCAAGTTTGTTACGAGTTGCTCTCGGCCCCCTCTCTTGGGTTTTAAGGTACACAGTTTCTAGCTAGCTGTGGTCTGTATGTCATGGTACTGCTGTTTACTTGGGTTGCTTTTACTTGCTGGGTGGGCTGCAGTACTGTGCATCACCCCCGATGTCTGGCACAGCCTTTTCCCTGTCCTTGTGGCATCAGCCCGTGGTGCAGTGGCTGTGCATTTTGACTTTGGCTGCCTAGGACACGCCTGTGGAGGGAGGTGCAGTTCAGAAGGTAAACCCTCTGTGTCAGAGACCTACAGTGCTTCTTGAAGAGGCTGTTTCTGCCCCTGACCTAAAAATGTTGGTCTGGTACCTGTGAGCAGAAGTAATTTCATTAGTCTGTGTTTTCATTGCATGATAGTAATGTTCATTTTGGGGAGCTGGTATGTACACACAGTATATCTTGATGTTTTCTAATCTCTTTAATCCCCTCTCCCTTACTTCCCCTGTCCCTGACCCCTCCCTTATGTCCAGAAAGTCTGCCTGAGCAGAAGTACGTTTTGTCCTAATTGTTGCTTTTTTTTTTTTTTTTTGGACCAGGGATCGAAGAAGTACGTTTTGTCCTAATTGTTGCTTTTTTTTTTTTTTTTGGTACCAGGGATCGAACTTGGGACCTTGCGCTTAATTGTTGCTATTTTGTGTTACCTGCCTTTGTTTTCTTCTGAAAATTAATGTTTATCTCATATATCTTGGCTTATTTTTAGCAGTTAAACTGTGGGAGGGATGTTTAATATTTCCTGTATTCATTATACATTAAAAAGCAGTATTCAAGGGCCGGGGATTTAGCTCAGTGGTTTTGTCGCCTGCTACGCAAGCACAAGGACCTGAGATCAATCCCCGGTACCAAAAAAAAAAAAAGAATAGGAATAGTCTTGCCGGGCATAATGGTGCACACCTATAATCCTAGCACTGAGACTGAGACAGGAGGATTACCATGAGTTTAAGGCCAGCCTGAACTGCATGGTGAGACCCTATCTCAGGGAAAGAAAAGAACAGTCTTAAAAGCCAAGATGAAATGATCACAGTCCATTTGGCTGTGTATATGGACTCTCAGGTCAATGGTTTGTGTGCAGTCCTAGAACCAGCAGCTGCAGTGTCCCTTGAACTTATTTGAGGTGGTTAACTTGTATAAGGCCCAGCTTTTAACCCTGTGCCACAAAGAAGAGGGAGAGAGAGACAAGCTGGGAATGTGCCCCAGACCCCTCAGTCTGCTGAGTTAAGCCCCGAGGTGGAGCTCGGCAGCATGGCCTCACCTGTCCTGCAGGTGTTCTGGAGCATGCCGAAGTGACACACCAGCTATCTCTTTCATGCCTGACAGAATCTGTCCTGTCATCTTTGTTACTTTTCTCTCTCATTGCTAAGACAAAATACCCAACACCCAGAGTTTAAAAAGGAAAGATTTAGGGCTGGGGGTTTAGCTCAGTAGTTCTGCCATCTGCCTCATATAAGCACAAGGTCCCAAGTTCAATCCCCAGTACCAAAAAAAAGGGAAAGATTGTTTAGCTCACAGTTTGTAACAGGTTTCAGGACATAATTGGCTTGTTCCAAGGCAGGGTGGCATGGCAGAGGGACAGCAGTTCATGGCAGCTGACAGGAGGTACAACAAGGGAACTTTAACAGTGTCTTTCTGCCCCTTTTATCCAGACTACCAGGGATTAGGGCTGTGCCAAACCAACCCATGGACTGGTTTACTCAACACACCCTTAATCCCAGCATCACACACGCTATAGATTCAGCATCCTCTAAAAAAGATACCTTTGTCCCTATGATGCTTCAGGGGGACATTAGACCCAAACCATAACACCTCCCCACCCAGGGCCCAGCCAGAGCTGCATTGGCACACCATGGGCACAGGCATGTCCCCTGGTATCCAGAGCAGCTCTGCTCCTGGGACTGTGTCTGTCTACACAGTGTCTTTGAGGCAGTCCCAGCTGGGAGCCCTCCACATGTCTTCAGCTGATAACAGGCACCTCCAGAAACCTCAAAGAGCAGATTGCTGCTGAGTGGGAACATTGACAGGATGGTGCTGGTGGGAAGGAGCCAGACGGGACTGCATGCTATAGAACTCCATTTACATGAAACATCGTCATAGGCATCTTTACAGAGACAGCAGGTCCTTGGCTGCCTGGGGCTGAAGGTAGAAGTGGGGTCTGTGGAGGATGTGAAATATCCCAAAACTGGTTTATAGGGATGGTAGTGTGAATCTGAATTTACTGAGGCTCACTGAATTGTGTATTTAAATAGGTAAATCTGCAGTGGACAAAGTGATACCTTAATTAAGCTGTTTCAGTAATTGGCAAAAGTGGTTACCACAGCATCCAGGGCTGTGCCCAGGAGCAGCTGTGACAAAATGGAGTGTGGGAGGGTGCAGCTGCAGTGCCCACTTGTCACCAGACTTCAGGTCAGTAAGTGAGGGAACCGTGGGAATCATCCTCTTAGCAGATGATGCCACTTGTTGATGCAGTAGAACCAGAATCCCTTCTGGAGAGTCCACAAGCTGGGGAGAAGAGAACCACTCCCAACAAGCCACACATATTCAGAGCCGGTCATATTCACCAGAATTAAAGAGGAAAAGTGATGTCATTGAGTTAAGGGAAGTCTGAACTGCAGCAGGAAGCACAGCAAAGGAGAACTCATCCCTCCAAAGACAGAAGCTTTCAGCCTGGCTTGGCGGCCACACACCAGGTACTGCACAAAGGGACCAAGAAAGATGTCTCAGTGCTCCTGAAGAGAAGCACAGGGTCTTTTCACCACCACATGCACTGGCACACATGCTGGACAGGACCTGGCCTCTGGCCGTGACAGACACCTGGGATGCCAAGTCCTGCCCTGTGATAAGAACAGTCCAATGAGTCCTTCTGTCTTCAGATGTCAGTGCCCTTGGGAATTTTATCAGGGACATTTACCATGAGATACAGTCATCTAGTACTTCTTTTCAAAACTGCTGAATCTACAGTCAGAAGATGAGGAGCCTGGAGACCTGTTCTCATCTAAAGGGTGGGAGCCCAGAGAATTGGCCAGGTCTTGGCGTGGGTGCCACGTCAGGGCTAATATCCCAGAGCAGCCCTAACAATAGTTGTCACACCCTAAAAATGCTTTTTTGGAAGCTGTGAAACAGACTGGAATTTTTCAGTGATCTCATGTATTATATGTGAAGGCTACGGTTTCCATCTGCATCTTGCAGTTACTGTGTCAGACATCAGGTTGGGAAAACCCATCCAGGTGGGTGTGGAAGGGGCGAGCTGCAGAAGAAGGGCCTTGAAGGGTCCCCAGGGGGACAGTTGGCCAAGGCAGGCGGGCATCAACAGAATGTTGGAGTCTGCAGTGCCATCCTGTTAAAGGATGGCATCTGCTAAAGCTAATTATACTTTAATATGTTTAATAAATGTGATTGTTACAGACAAAAAATCATTAAAGTGCTGTAGAAAATTGTTAAGTTACCATCAGGCCACATCACAAATTGCTGCTTTCTCTCACCCTGAATTAATGCAAATTCCCGTCGTACTGTATCTAATTATGCGCAGAGTGGAGCCCTGGACCCAGATTAGAGTGAAGAACTTCATTTTTTCACCTGTGAGTCTCCAAGTAGGAGATGGAATTAGTACTATAGAGGAAACATTGAAAGGTGGTGTTGTTATGGCTTGTATCTTAGGTATCACCCCAAAGCCTCATGCGGTCATAGGTGGGGCTTTTTTAGAGGTGGCTGAAATCTATAGAGCATGTGATTGATTCATAGTGTGGTGGTAGGATTAAGGGGGTGTGATTACTAAATCAGCCCACAGATTGGGTTGGCACCACTCTAATCCCAGTAGCCTGGATATACAATAGAAGGGACGGAAAGAGGCTTGTTTTGTCCCTTGCTTGCTTTGCGACCTTCTGCCCATTGTGAACTGTTTCTCCTTTGTGATGATCCCGCTGCCGTGCCACCCTGCCTTGGAACCAGCCAACTGTGGACTGAAACCCCTGCAAACTGAGCCAAATAAACCTCTCCTCCCTGAACTTTGGGTGGCAGGTATTTTGTCTCAGCAGTGGGAAAAGTAACTGAGACAGGTGCCTCGCAGCGACGTGTGCGTCAGGCTGCCGTGTGCCAGTGCCTGTGATGGAAACACCCGTCTGCTGTCGGGTCCTTTGCTGCCTCCCCGATGGAGCAGTTCCATTTCAGTTCACTCAGACCTTGGAGAAAGCTGTGGGCGCCATCTGCTCAGAACACTGAGAGTAAGGATGATAGGTGTTACTTTTGAGTCTCCTTGGTCTGTGTTCTAACTCTTTACGAGCGTTAAAGTGCCATATAAACTATCATTAGAAGAAGGTGGTTTAGGCCAGGCATGGTGGCACACACCCATAGTCCAGCACTTGGGAGGCTGAGGCAGGAGGATCGCCACAAATTCAAGGCCAGCCTGGGCTACCTAGTGAGTTCAAGACCAAGCTGAACTACATAGTGAGACTCTGTCTCAAAAACAAAGGTGGTTTATCACACATTACATGCCACATGTGCTTCTTAGTGACGTTTACGTGTAGCAGTAAGAGGTTGACAGGTTGGGAAGAAGCGTTCGTGCTCTCCAGCATTTTGTAGGCTGTGCCTACTAAGCTTTGGTCTCATCAGAATGTGCATGCTAAGTTCCAGCCAGAGGTGGACCGGGCTCTGCTGAGGCGCCCTCTAGCCTCAGGGTGCCACACCCTCCATGACCACCCTGACTTCCGCTCCCCATCAGAGGAGCCCTTACTCCAGTTTCCTGTTTCTAACACACTGAAATGGAAGACAGCCATTATGTCTGAGGTTACTAGGTTTATATTTTATATAACAAAATTGATGTTTGTATCATAGAAAATATGGTTAAGTGTAAGAAGAAGAAAAAAATCTATTCTAGTCATTGTTACATTTTTATCATTTTTGTTTTGTTGAACCAGAGCTTAAGCCCAGGCCCTTCCCAGGGAGCTACATTCCTGGCCCCTTATTTTGTATTTTGAGGCTGAGTCTTAATAAATTGCTGAGTTGCCCAGGCTGGGCTCAAACTTGCAGTCTTCGTGGCTCAGCCTTCTGGAGGATTAGGGTGACAGGTATCCACTGCCATGCCCGCCCTCTGGTGGCTGTTAAATGGAGTTTGCCCCACTCCTCTGGTCACAGTGCTTGGGGAGCACCACCTGGAGCCCTCCTTCTGCACATGCTCTGCAGTGTGTGCCCAGCGAGCCAGGAGAGAGCAGGGCAGGCTGCTCACTGTGGTGAGAGCGCATGAGTCACTTCCCTCACAGCTTGCACAGGAGGCCTGCATCTCCTGGTGCTCCAGTGTAGAAGGAAGGTGCAGGTGCTAGTGATTTGGGACCATCGAAGGCCTGGCTCTGCAGCAGTCCATGCCTAATGTGCGTGTATTTAGCCTGCAGGAGGTTTGTGCAGTTGTGGGTGTGATTGTGTCCACGTGACTCATTGAATCCTTATAAAATGCTGAGGCAGCACCCTAAGCGCTAGTCTACAAGTCATGCTGCTGCATGCAGTGGAATGCTGTGCTGCCTCGGGAAGGAATGAGAAAACAAGTTAGGACAGAGTTACCAAGTCACCATCACCAACCAAAAATGCTGCCTGTGGCCATGGCAGACATTGCATTGGAAGTGTGGAGAGAGTACATGCTTCCTGGTCTCTAGGTGAGACCTCCATGGGAGTGTATCTAACACACCAGGAGGGATTTTATACTGCACCTAAACTGCCAGGTGTCGCTACACACCTCAGGAGGAACAGTGCTCAGGACCTTTGGTGTTTACGTTTCCCTTTTTCCTCCCTGCTCCCTGGCCCCCTCCTTCATGGCTGCTCATGGTTGGCACAGAAAAGCCCCATTCATCCTTGGCATGGTCGGTGCAGCTCTTTAATCCCTCCCCATCTTCCAATCCCAACCCTCTCCATTTCGCCTTGTAATTTTATTAAAAAGGAGGTACTGGATTACTTCTTTGTGTATCTCTTAGTCTGATAGCAGTTCTCTCAGATTCTAGACTTGAATTTCCATATTGGCTGCAGCCCTTCCTAAATAATTACATCCTGGGCCAACCTTCCCCGGGACTGGTAGGGAGGCCCTGCTTAAGTCATCTGAGGTACTGGATATTCGCTGGGTTCAGCCACCCTTGCCCTGGTGCTGCTGGTGGGTGCACGTGGCCCCTGCCAGTGCTGCTCCTGAATCTCCTGTGAAACAACCATAGTCAAGTGTTATTTGTTGAAACTTTGCATAGAAAAGATAGACTAAATAGAAAGATGGGGTAATAGGTAATAGAATATAGTGGATCCTTGACTTACAAATCCAATTCGTTCCCAAGGGCTGGTTGTAACTCAGGTTGGTCAACTGAAGGCTCAGGCTCCTCTACACAGCCTTCAAACTCTCTCTTCTGTACACAGGCAGATCTCAGTGTCCTTAGCGAGACATTGGCCTGGGCTTTCTTAGTTAACCCCACACAGGAAAGGATGTTGTAACGTTCCTTCCAGAACTCCTTAAGGGTCAGATCTGTATCTGAGACCATCTGGAAGCATAAGCAGCTGGCATTCGGGTCGCAACTCAGTAGTTTGTAAGTTAAAACAAAATTCTGATCATAACCCAAGTTGTTCATATATCAGGCTGGTCCTAACTCCAGGGCCCATTGTAATAGACTCAATCTCAAGTCTTTGTTCAGCCTCCAGAGTGGGCTAGGTTAGCCATGTTTGCAGTAGGCACCAGAGAGTTCCCTTCCTATCGGTGGCGACTGAGATCCCAGCCTTGTTTTACGCTGCCCCCCCATGCTCAGGGAGCAGCAGGCTTGGCACTGGGTCACGCCAGTGTGTCCCCTCCAGGTTGGGCTCACAGGGCTGAGGTGGCTCGTGCAGAGGCCCTGGCTTGCAAGTGTAAGTTCCGAGGTTCCATCCCCAGCATTGCAGAGCAATAGACTAGGCTCACAGATGTTACTGCTTTGATTTTATATTTGGTCTCGTTTTGCTGGAGGTACTCCTGGTACCCATTATCTCATGGGCTTGGCCCAGTGGCAAGTTAAGAGGAGGGTCTTATATTAAGCTGTGTCTTTTAACAGTAGTTGTAGAATGGTTACCCGTAATTCTGTAATGGCTTTAGAACAAGACCAATAATTTACTATGACATTTTTGAAAGCCATTTAAGATTTCTCTGCAATTCTAAAATCCTGGATTCTACTCCAGGTGACTAAGCCACCAATAGATTCATTTGTTCCATTGTGGTACCACATTGACTTTGCTCTGCCCGGCCCTCTCACTTCCTTTTTTTTTTTTTTTTTTTTTTTTTTTTTGGTACCGGGGCTCGAACTCGGGTCCTTGCGCTTGCGCAGCAGGTGGTGAAACCACTGAGCTAAATCCCCGGCCCTCTCACCTCCATTTTAACAGAAGCAAACACAAAGGTGCGTTCTTTATCCTGGCACCTTAAAAACAACTTTCAAAGTCCAAAAATATGCCAGCTATGGTGATGCACACCTGGATCTCAGCACCCAGGAGGCTGAGGCAGGAAATCCCCTTGAGTTCAAGGCCAGCCTGGACTCCATAGCAAGTCCCTATCTCAAAACAAAACCCGAGACGCCCCAGTCAGTGGAAAAATTGGTTCCCAAGATGGGCTGGCTCTCCTTCCTCAGCCCAGCACCCGCTTTGCGGTGACTGAGCTGCTCCACTGTACTGAGAGCATGATGGGGAGCCACAGGCCCTGCATGCTCCCATGATACCAGCGTCCTGTGTCACCTGTCTCCTAGGAGCTGTACCCTGCGTTCTGCATCCACAATGGGGGCTCCGACCTGGAGCGGTTGCCCACAGCCAGCACCTGCATGAACCTGCTGAAGCTGCCCGAGTTCTACGACGAGGCACTGCTGCGCAGCAAGCTGCTCTATGCCATTGAGTGTGCAGCTGGCTTTGAGCTGAGCTGAGTGGGCCAGGCAAGCTGGACCAACTGGACCGCACCGAGCGCCCGGCCGCACCCATGGGTCTCCCAGATGCCCGCCTTTTTCCTGCCCTCCTCCCCCCATCATCTCTTAGATGATTTTTATCACACGTGGTCACATATTTAGATGAACACTGCTTTTCAGAGAACTTAAGTAACTATTGTTGTGTGCCGTGTGGCTGATTGAGTAACTCTCCAAGAAGAGCACAGTCTTAGACCAGTGGCAACCCCGTGAAATTAACCAAAGATGAAGCTGTGGTTCTGCTGACCCGGAGCAGGTCCCCCGGCTGCAGCCCCTGGCCCTTGCTGCAGTCTGCAGAGACGGGGATCTAGCCAGTACCACTAGTTTCTCCTGCGGTTGATGGTTTACAGGCCTGGTTGTTAGAACTGCTGCCTTTGCCCAGAGTGGTTAGGTCTGGAGAACAGATAACTATAGTGTTACTTTGTGCTTTTTAAGCCATTCCCCTAGGAGGGACTAGCATGCTCGTGTTCCGTGTCACATTGACTGCATCGTGATGGCTTGGGTATTGCTGTGTGGGTATGCGGTGGGTGCCTCGATCCTCACTCGCTCATTTTTGTCTCCACTCTTCTGGGAGAGCTGGGGCAGAGGAGGAGGGTCCCTGCACCGAGCCTGCATGCCTCCTGCAGTGAATGGTGTCTAGGGAGAGTATTAAAGTTATTTGAACCAAAGTAGCGGGCTGCGTCTGTCCATGACCACACACCCCTCCAGGCCTGGGCCACACCACCCCTCCTGGGCATCTTGGGGTAACACATGGGCCCTCCGTGCCCTCCGCCCCGTGCTGCTGCTTGGACTTGAAGACAGCGTCCTTGGTGCACTGGGGGTGGAAGTATTGGGAGATTCTCACATAGGCACTTTATTGGGACCTGACTCGTCACTGGGCAACCTCAGCTTCTGCCAACAGGCAGGAGCACCAGCTATGGCTCAGAGCATGCGGTGTGGGCCACACGTGTGGATGCTGGAGAGGAGGAGGACCCCCGCCTGACCTCACAAAGCCTAGTGTCGCAGGGCAGGGCTCTGGGGCTGCTGTAAGATTCACCAGAACTAGCAATATACTTCTCAGTGTGCAGAAACTGATGACACTTTTAAGACAATGACCATTGAAACAAATGTATAATTTCTTAATTTGAAAATAAATTGTGTTTAAATGCTATTTGTAGTCTTGATATACAGAAATAAATAGTGTTTATCTTCGGTTTTATTTTTCATTTTATGTTTATGTTGAATGTTCTGTATCTTATTAGTTGATTTGTGTACTTTAGTGTGACTATTTTATTTTATTTTATTTATTTATTTTTTTGGTACCGAGGATTGAACTCGGGTCCTTGCACTTGCACAGCAGCCGGCAAAACCACTGAGCTAAATCCCCAGCCCTGGCATCACTATTTTAGAAGTGGAGTATCTGAGGCTGAAGAGAAATGGGCAGTTACACTTGTGTTGTTTTCCCTCTGCTCTTCTGACTTTGTGTATGAATGGCTAAGTATTTGCATTAACATTTCTGCCCTGTGGTTATGCGGAATCCTGCCCCAGATCACTCAGTAGTCACATCCTGCTGTAGTAAAACCAGGCTTTTGCAAGTGACAGATGCATCACAGACATGTGAGGTCACCAGGAAACACTGTGTGCCAGCGTTATCAGGTAGGCAGAGCTGTCCTGGAGGTGCTGAGGACAACCACACCTGCTCTGCTCTCAGATGGGTTCTCTGGGTGGGTTCAGCATTAGACTGTTGAGGAAAAAGCATCCTAAAGGAAAATTCTCTTTTCTCCTTTGTTCTCTTTGCCTTTCTCTGCATCTGTTCTACTTTGCACTCAAACCTACCTGTTGCATGTTCAAGGTGTTTCTCAGGAGCTGTCACCTGCACAGGGGTCCATGCCTGGTGCCATCGGCTTGCACAGGCAGCAGTCAGACCACAGCATGCACAGCCTGTGGCAGGAGTTGGGTCAGCTCACCATGCTTCAAACAGAGGGTGTGCACATGCTGTGTGTTCGTGGCCTGGGTGCTCAGGCAGGGCTGTGGGGGCAGCCTAATTTGGTGCGTGAGCTGCCTCAGACTTTGAAGCAAAGTAAGCAATGGGAGATAAAGGCGTAGGAGATTAAAATGAAATGGGAGTCAGGGCCACCCTCCAGTTCCCTGCGTGTCAGAGAGCATGCAGTGAGCCCGTCACCTGTGCACCGCGACCTGGGCTCCTGTGCACTGCCCCTATCCCCTGCCGGGTACCCTCATCAAAAAGGGCTGAGGATGTAGCTCAGCAGTCCCGGGGCTCAGTCTCAGTACCAGGAAAGTGAAGCCACCTTCAGCAAAGCCTCACCCACAGCACAGTCCCAGGCCTGGGCGTGCAGCTCAGTGGTTGCCTAGCAGGATTGAGGGCCTGGGTTCCATCCCCAGCACCAAAAAAATAGAGGGGACCAAGGTCCTATCTTCAGTTCTGCAAAGGCTGAGAGAGTAAGAAAGCAAAGAGTGGTAGGGCAGCCCCTGAGCTGCACCACATCCCAGTGTTCCGCTGCTTCTCTGTCTCCCTCCCTTCCCTCCTGTTTTGTTTTTGAAGGCCATGTCCCACTGCTCAGAAGTGGGCTGCTTCGGCTCTGGACAGCATGGGAGCCCTGCTCAGCAGACACTCAGCCCTAGCGTGTTGCCTGCTGGTGAGGGTCTCTGCACACCAGCTCTGCAGTCAGGTAAGAGCCACTGCAGAGTTTCAGCTCTGCCACCATGCCAGCCCTGTGCTTTCTGTCTTGCTAGGCCTGGGGACAGCAGCCATGGTGCCCATGGGGGTCCCCGCCTCAGCACCTGGACCTGTCCTGCCACCTGGACTCAGCACTAGATGGCAGCCAGTGGCACTGTGAGTGCAGAATTAGAGGTGGGACAGTAAGCGGGCACCAGAAATTCGAGGAGGGAGCCCTGACACAGCAAGCCCAGGGTGTGTGTGTGTGCGTACGCATGCTCATGTGGCTGGGGTTCAAGCCCCCCCCAGCCTTTACACTGAGCTATGTCTTCACCACCACCACTTTTTTTTTTTTTAAGACAGGATCTCACTAAGTCACTGAGTTGCCCAGCCTAGGCTCAAACGTGCCACCCTCCTGCCTCAGCCTCTCTGTGTGCTGAAGTTATGGGTGAAGGCCACCATGCCCAGCTGGGAAGATTGTTTCTCAGGGAATTAACATGGTGTGTTACAAGCTTCTTAATGGCTACCGTCACAAATTGCCACAAACTGGAGGACCCGAAACAGCAGCATTTGTTCTGTAGGCCAGCATCTGAAACGCAGGTGTCAGAGCCACACTCCACTTACTACTCGGAGAGGACTCTGGCGATTGTTTGCTCCAGCCTCTGGTGGCCTCACCCCAGGCCCTGCCTCCCTGGTCGCCTTGCTGCCTCTCCTGAGGACAGTTGTCCATTGGAACTAGAACTCACCCAGACAACCCAGGATGATCCTCTGGTTATATTGGGAAAGAGTGTTCTTCCCAATAAAGTGACATTCTGAGGCTGAGGATGTGGCCATCCCTGAGGTGACCATTACCGTCCCTCTGCATGTGCTAAACTGATACGTGGGTGGCTGACCCCTCTTGCTGTCCGTGGGCTGGCCTGCACTCCTGGGTCACAGCCATGATTGTCCTCGCCTTCTCCCTCAGTCCCCAGACTCCACACGAGATCCTCATAAACAGCTGGCCCTGATGCCTGTTTGTCCCCTTCACCCACGCCTCGCTGATGGCCCTACTGCCCATCCTGTCATCCCCCAACACCCTTCCCCCTCATGTCTTTTTGGGGGGGGTACCGGGGATCGAATTCGGGACCTTGTACTTACAAGGCAGGCGGTCGAGCCACTAAGCTCAATTCCTGGGCCCATGTCTTTCTATTTGATACACACTGACCCACATTTTCCCTGCCCCACACATTGCTCAGCAGGGCAGGATCTCGGTAGGTTGCCCCTCTGTGCTCATGGGGTGCTCAGGGAGGGAAACCGTGGCGCTGCTTCTGAGAAAGTTAGGCTAACCAAGCTAAATCCAAGTCAGTGCCCCGACTGCTGCTTCTCCCTGCCAATCTCAGTTCCGGGTCCCCGGTTGGGTGAGGTGGTGCCACCTGGTGGCCATAGTGGGAGGCTCCAGCTGAGCCGTATATATAAAAAGTTCACCTGCTCCCGGGTCCACAGCACAAGTCTGTGCCTTTGTCACAGGGTGGCTGTGAAAACAACAGGAAAGCAGGGTCCCTAGTCCTGTGGCCTTAGCTCCTGGACTTGGAGAAGAGAAGAGTGAGGACTTGTGTCCTCACAGAGGAGGGTGGCCCCACACGCAGTGGAATGGGGATTAGATGTGATATATGTCACATGGAAGAGCAGGAAGGCATGGTGCTTAGTGAAGACTGGAATGCAGAAGGGCATAGACTGAATGGTTCTGTGTAAATGAAACTTCCAGCCAGGCACAGTGGCACACCCCTGTGATTCTAGCACTCTGGGAGGCCAAGGGAAGAGAATCACAAGTTCAAGCTCAGCTTGGGCAACTTAGTGAGACCTTGCTCCCCCCAATTTTTCTTTCTTTCTTTTTTTTTTTTTCCGTTACCAGGGATTGAACTTGGGACCTTGTGCTTGTGAGGCAGGCGGCAGAACCACTGAGCTAAATCCCTGGCCCTCCAAATTTTTTTTTTTAAGGAACAAGGTTGTAGCTCAGTGAGAAGACACTGAATTCCTCACACACACACAAAACCCTTCCAGAAAGGGAAATGTACAGTGCCAGCTGCAGCGGCAGCTCAAGGAGAGGGAGAAGGGAGGGACAGTGAAAGGGACGTGCTGGGACCTGGCAGTGGTAGTCGCACAACTGTGTAAAGCAGTGACTTACAACACGTGAGTTGCATCTCAGTCAACCTGGGTTTTAAAACCCCATCACTGCCTGTTGTCTGTGAGATCGGGGTCACGATGGGATGAAAGTGCAGCTGTCTTGACTGGGGCGCCTGACCCCTGACTGCCTGCATGGCAGCACCACATGCTCTGCTGAGCTGAGGGTTCCCAAGGCGCTGTGGCTGGCTTAGGACAGTGCTTTGATGAGGGATGACACCAGAACTCGGGGTCCTCCCATCTTCCAACCACCTTCCAAAGTCCCAAGCCCAAAAGGGCCTCAGGGTCTGCAGATGACAGGCGCAGATGAAGGAGGGCGAATGCTGGGTTGGGGAGGGGAAGGCTGGGGTCACAGTGGGGAACTGGACCTCCTGCAGGCTGGGGTCTTACTGGCACAGGCTGGGACTCAGCCCTAAGGCAGGGCTGCCGGGCAGCCTGCAGAGGCACTGGGCAAGTGATTCTGGGGTTTTACTAAGCATCTTGATCTTCCTCTAGGGTTCAGTGTTTTGTTGGTTTCTGTCACGGCTATAACAGTGACTGTGCAGAGTGCTTAACAGCAGCACATAATCTTAGCACTGGGGAGGCTGAGGTAGGAGGATCGCTGTGAGCTCGAGGCCAGCCTAGGTTACATAGTGAGTTCAAGGCCAGCCTGAACTGCACAGTGAGACCTGATCTCAGAAACCAAAACAAGGCCCGGGGATTTAGCTCAGTGGTTCCGGCGCCTGCCTCGCAAGCACAAGGTCCCAAGTTCAATCCCCGGTACCAAAAAAAAAAAACCACACAAACACAAAACTTAGGGCCGGGGATTTAGCTCAGTGGTTTTGCCGCCTGCTATGCAAGCGCAAGGACCTGAGTTCAATCCCCGATACCAAAAAAACCCAAAAAACAACAAGGTACCGCAGCTCCCGCCCCGTCCCCCACCTCCGCACAGAGGTAAAGCCAGGGTCCCCTTCGGCCCAGGTCTGCTTCCCACCCACTACCACACCCCCATCAGTGAGTTCTTCCTGTTCCCAGAGCCACTCCTCTGACTCATCTGAGGGGACATGGAGATCATTCTGGGCCCCAGTGTGACCTCCACACTTGCTTGTTAAACAGCAGTCCCTTGGGGTGGGGACGTGGTCACAGTTCCTCCTGCCCATGCCATGGTTGAGTGCGACTGCACAGGCCTGGCCCCCCTTTGCGGTTTGTCATCACACATGCCATCACCACCCCACAGGCAACTGCTGCGCCATGGCTGTCATCATGCATCTGTGGTGCCCCACATGGCTCTCATGCATGAAATCACTGCACACCCTGTCATCACATGCCATCACTGTCACACCATCACTGCTGCCTCTGTCACATGCGATTGTCACAGCCCTGGGCATGCCCAGGACA